CCACATATACATTTTTTTGGCATTCCTGAGACTTCTCTTTATTCCTAAGAGCTAAATATGAGCTGACAATGTGATGCATCTGCAAAAAGGGCAAATGCTATTTTGAGCTGCATTCACAGAAGCATCACTTTCAATATACCAGAAGTACTAGTTCCACTATACTCAGCACCAGTCGGACCTTACCTAAAGGCCAGTTCTGGGTACCTTAGTTTTAAAAAGATGCAGTGAAGCTAGAAAGGGTACAGAAGAGGGCTGCAAGGATGACCCAGGGACTGGAAGCAAAGCCTGTGGGGAAGGAGTGAGAGAACTGGACACGTTCCGTCTCAGGAAGAAAAGACTGAGGGGAATGTGGTAGCACTTTACAAGTACCTCAAAGGCTGTCACAAAGAGGAAGGACAAGATCACTTCTAGGTCTTTCCAGGGTGCAGGACACAGAATAATTTTATCAGTGACCTGGAGGAGAGGCAACCAGTCTGCTGACTAAATTCACAGATGGTACAAAAGCGGGGTTGGTGGCCACAACTGGGGAGCAGGTACTCCAGATCCAAAAGGATCTGGACAGCGGACAACAGGCTGGTGTTCAGTGTGGATAAATGCAAGGTCTTGAACTTGGGAATCAGGAATAAGTGTCATAGGACAGTTGGTGTCTGGAGAACAGCACTTGTGAAAGGGATCTCGGGTCACTTATCAACTGCAGGCTGAACATGAGTCAGCAGTGTGATGAGGCTGTTAAGAAGGCAAATGTCACCCTTGGATGTGTAGCCAGAAGTGTGGCTTCCAGATCTAAGGAGGTGTTGATACCACTCTGCACAAGTCTGGTGAATCACAACTGGAATACTGTGTCCAGGACTCCACATTATGGAAGAGACATAGCTGGTTAGAATCAGTTCAGCGTGGGCTCACAGGAATGGTAGCCAGGGTGGGAGGGATGACATATGAGGTGAGACTGAGGGAATTGGGCCTTTTCAGCCTGGAGAAGAGGCGGCTCTGGGGGATCTTTTAGCAACTTATAGGTATGTGAGGAGAGCCGTGACCTGTTCTTCCCTGCAGTGGAGGGCAGGACGCGTTCCAATGCAGCAAAGCTCAAGGAACCGGGCTTCAGGTTGGATGTTAGGAAGCACTTCCTGACAGTCAGGACCCCGAGGGTATGGAATGGGCTTCCAAGGGAGGTGGGTGAGGCCCCATCAGTGAGGGTGTTCAAGGAAAGATGGGACAACCGCATGTTGGGGATTACATGAGTTGAGCCAGCTAGAGCCTCAGACTAGATGGCTGGGAGGCCACTTCTCACTCACTTTGCTTCTATGTTTCTATGTGATAATGGGCTTAAGTTAAAAGAAACCAGATTTAGACTAGACACCAGGAAGAATTTCCTCACTGTCAGAGCAGTACAATAATAGAAGCTATTACCCACAGAAGTTGTGGGCTCTCGCATGCTGAAGACAGTTAAAAAGCATTTGGACACTCATCCAGATGGGATGGTATAACAGTGTCTGCAGTAGCAGGAGGCTGGACCTGATGGCCTTCCGACTCTGGCATTCTGTGTTTCTATAATAGGAAAGAAGAAAAAATGGCATTGAAAAGGGAACCCAGGACTGCCCAATGGAAATCGGTGTTCACAGAATGCAGACTGCCTGAGAGAAGTGGTGGGGGAACAGAAAATCAGGTGGACAGAGATGGGACGGAGCATCCTGGAAGAGGGCCGGGCAGGGTGGAGAGGAATCGCTTTTCACTGCAAAGCTCTGTTGCAGGGCCTGTTCGTTCCCACAAACTACCGTTCTATAGATGCTATTCTTCTCACTGTAAATAAATACATAATGTAATGGATAAATAGCATAGATCTTTGTTTT